TTTGAGCGCATGAATTAAAGTTGAACAAGAAAAAGTGTCTGTTTGGAGTCACAGAGGTAACCTTCTTAGGTAACAAGCTGTCTGCAAAAGGTGTGGAACCAGATCCAGCTAAAGTACAAGCCCTCTTGGAAATGCCTCCACCTAATGACAAGAAGGGAGTTTTACGTGCTTTAGGTATGGTACATTTCCTAGGAAAATTTCTGCCAAATCTTTCTACTAAAACCACACATATGAGAGCATTGTTACAAAATGACAAAGAGTTTGTGTGGTCTTTCGTACATGATCAAGAATGTAAGAGGTTAAAAGAGATTCTGACTACTGAACCTGTTCTTGATTTTGTTGATTACACTTGTCCAATTAAGATCTCTACAGATGCCTCTCAGGATGTTGAATTGCAGAGAGTGATTGTTCTTCTTCAACAAGGATGGATTAAAGGCAAGTGGTCACAGTATTTTCCGATGAGGGCAGAACTGAGTGTGTGTAATGGCTTGTTGTTGCGTAACAATAGAATTGTTATTCCATTATCAATGCGTCAAGATATGCTTCGTCATATACATGAAGGGCATCTTGATATTGAAAAATGCAAGCGAAGAGCCAGACAAGCTGTTTATTGGCCTGGAATTAATATGCATATTGAGGAATTAATTGGTAAGTGTGATGTCTGTTTGCGTCATCACTATAAACTGGCAAAAGAACCAATGCTGATTACTGATGTGCCTACTCAACCATGGCAAAAATAGGAACTGATCTGTTCCAGTTGAATGGTAAGGATTTTTTGGTAGTTATTGATACTATTCCAATTATCCTGAAATTGAACAGCTCCGTTATACAACAACGAGTGATGTGACTAATCACATGAAACGCATTTTTGCCAGGCATGGAATTCCCTTCATTGTGCAAAGTGATAACGGTCCTCAGTATAGTAGTCGTGAATTCAGACTGCAGAACAATATGGCTGTAAGCATATGTGATGAACGCTGGGGGAGTTCTTTTCTTAGTTGGGCTTTGGCCCCGCCTATAGGAAGCTTTTTGCAGCATGTTCTCTTCTGATTGAACTCACCTGGAGGACGTTTAAGGAGGAGAACAGGTGAGAGGAGGAACATGGGTTTTTTGGCGCTCAGGGAAAGATGGGGACGTTTGGTGTTGCTCGAGACCATTAGGGTTTATCTGGCAACGAAGATAGCTAGATAGATGGAATTTGTGTAGTTCGATAACGTTGGGGAGAGTTTAGGAGCGCTGACCATATGTTCCAAGAGCGTTTCAAAGAGACTGTATTGTGCGCAAAGAGGACTCATCAGTATTCCAGATATTGTGATTCCCAAGGAGAAGTGTGCTGTGTACCAAAGACTAATTACTGCCAGTGACGTTGTGATTAATTGCCGTAACTGCGGAGACGATAATAAAGCGAAGAGGAGCGCGTGCTTTCTTTGAAGATACTGATCCGGCACGGCTGATTCCTTTCCCTAGATCCCGGGGTGGGGACTTGTGTCCGGGAAACGGGGAAGTGTTTTACATTAAGTCTCTTCACGTGTTGTGTGTATGGTAGTTGTGAGTTTTAAAGTTTATATAAACATGATTACTCCGTCTCCGTGTACGGGACTGGGGAGGCGCTGATCTTTTCACCTGTTAAACCGATTGTGTGATCACGATTTCTAGTGTGCCGTGTGGGGCTGGGAATAACCA